CCCCCCGACAGGCGCCCGCGCGGCCCAGCAGACAGGCTGCAACACGGGGGAGGGGCGGGGGGGTCACGGCGGTGTGGGGAGCAGCAGGAGGGATGGGAGCCCTCAGGACAACAGGCTCCCCCAGGATGGCGTCTGCCCCGGAGCCAGACCCTGTGCTTGGCAGCGAGGGGCTCTGCAGGGCTGGCAGGGGGGAGCTGCTGTGATGTGTGAGCCCAGCCCCCGCGGTGCCAGAGCCAGGGCTGGGAGCCAGGCTGCCAGGCCCACGGGCTGGGAGAGGACATGGGGGGCAGCGCCGGGCGGGCAGGGCCTGGCCGGAGCCCAGAGCAAGTCGTGTGACAGACAGGCGCAGGCTGCAGGGCCCACACCCGCGGCCCCAGCCTGGCTCAGGGCCCGCCCCAGCCCTGCTCTCCCATGGCTTCTGGGGACGAGGCTGCAGGAGGTGCTGGTTAAGTGCAGCCAGCCCCTGGTAAAAATTGGTCCCTGCCTGATTCCAGACCAGGCACCATGGCCAGGTGGCCACAGCCAGCGCCACTACCAAGGGGGTCGGGCAGGGCACCCCGATTTCATGGAAACGCACAGCACCCTCTTCCCCGCCCCCACTCGGGCCGGATCAGCCTCTAGCTGCTGCTAGGGCATGGCACCCGTGCTGCCGTGACCAGGAAGGCTGGACTCCCATGGGCTCAAGAGCCATACCAAGTCCGACCCCTCCAGCCTGACCCACGCTGGCCTAGGGCGACATCCAGAGGCCCCCTGCCCATGTGCAGACAGGGCCTCTATGTAAGACTCAGGGTCATGATTTTCAAGTACAGCTGGTTGTCGTAGGGGCCCAGCCCGGGATCCCTTAAAGAGAAAGCCTGAGCACCCCCCGGCTGGAGATCAGGCCCCTTCCCTGCCTCCAGTTGGCCTCCCAGGCTCACGGGCCTTTCCGCAGCAGACCAGGGCCACGCGTGACCTATGGCTGGGCTGCCCAGCGGGAAAGGCAGGACGCGGCCCAGTGCCCGGGCGGCTCAGCACTGCAGGCGGCGGCAGACTGTGCGTTCCCAGGACAAATTCAAGTTTCAAAATCATTAAAAAAAAAATGGCTCAGAGCATGAGGTAGCGTAACCGAAAGAAACCCCCCAACTGAAACAACACCAAACACACAGGCAGAGTACAAGGCTGGGCTGCCCAGCGGGAAAGGCAGGACGCGGCCCAGTGCCCGGGCGGCTCAGCACTGCAGGCGGCGGCAGACTGTGCGTTCCCAGGACAAATTCAAGTTTCAAAATCATTAAAAAAAAAATGGCTCAGAGCATGAGGTAGCGTAACCGAAAGAAACCCCCCAACTGAAACAACACCAAACACACAGGCAGAGTACAACACGCCCCCCCCCCC